GGTTGACCCATTCATTCTTTAGTAGGATGTTATTTAACCTCCAAGTATTTGACTTCCTTCTAAATTTCCTCTTGTGATTGAGTTCAATTTTCAAAGCATTGTAGTCTGAAAATACACAGGGAATAATCCCAGTCTTTTGGTACTGGTTGATACCTGATTTGTGACCCAGTATGTGATCTATTCTGGAGAATGTTCCATGTGCACTTGAGAAGAATGTGTATTATGTTGCTTTAGCATGGAATGCTCTGTATCTGTGAAGTCCATCTGGTCCAGTGTGTCATTCAAAGCCCTCGTTTCCTTGTTTCCTTGATCTTTTGCTTAGATGATCTGTCCATTGCTGTGAGTGGGCTGTTAAAGTCCCCTACGATTAACATGTTATTACTAATGTGTTTCTTTAATTTTATTATTAATTGGTTTATATAATTGGCTGCTCCCAAGTTAGAAGCATATGTATTTATAATTGTTAGGTCTTCTTGTTGGATAGACCCTTTAAGTATGATATAGTGTCCCTCTTCATCCCTTCCTACAGTCTTTGATTTAAAATCTAATTTGTCTGATACAAGGATTGCTATGCCAGCTTTCTTTTGATGGCCAGTAGCATGAGAAATGGTTCTCCACCCCCTCACCTTCAATCTGCAGGTGTCATTGGGTCTAAAATGAGTCTTTCGTAGGCAGCATATAGTTGAGTCTTGTTTTTTTTTTTTTTAATCCATTCTGATACCCTATGTCTTTTTTTTTTTTTTTAAAGATTTTATTTATTTATTTGAGACAGAATGAGAGAGAGAGAGCACATGAGAGGGGGGAGGGTCAGAGGGAGAAGCGAGACTTGATCCAGGGACTCCAGGATCATGACCTGAGCTGAAGGCAGTTGCTCAACCAACTGAGCCACCCAGGCGCCCAACCCTATGTCTTTTGATTAATGCATTTAGTCCATCTACATTCAGAGTGATTATTGTGAGATATGAATTTAGAGCCATTGTGTGACCTGTAGAGTTGGTGTTTCTGTTGATGTTCTTTGGTCCTTTCTAGTCTTTGTTGCTTTCAGTCTTTTTGTCTCCAGAGAGTCCCCCTTAAAATTTCTTGCAGAGCTGGGTTACTGGTCACAGACTCCTTTAGTTTTTGTCTGTCTGGAAAACTCTTTATAACTCCTTCTATTCTGAATGATGGCCTTGCTGAATAAGGAATTCTTGCATGAATATTTTTCCCATTCAGCATATTGAATATATCCTTCCACTCCATTCTGGCCTGCCAATTCTCTGGAGAGATCTGCTGTGAACCTGATCTGTCTTCCCTTTTAGGCTAAGGACCTATTTTCTCTTGCTGATCTCAGGATTCTTTTATTGTCTGCATATTTTGTGAATTTAACTATGATAGGCTTTGGTGATGGACGGGTTTTGAATTTAATGGGAGTTCTCTGTGCTTCTTGGATTTTGATGTCTGTGTTCTTCCCCAGATTAGGGAAGTTTTCAGCTGTAGTTTGTTCAGATAAGCCTTCTGCCCCTTTATCTCTCTCTTCATCTTCCAGGACTACTATGATACAAATGTTATTAACGTTTTAATAGGTCACTGAGTTCCCTAAGTCTGCCTTCACGGTCCATTATCTTTCTTTCCCTCTTCTTTTCAGCTTCATTATTTTCCATAATTATATCTTCTGTATCACTCATTGCTCCTATGGTTTATCCATCCTCATTTTTATGGCCTGCATTTGTGTTTGGAACTTGGTTATAGCATTTTTAATTTTGGGCTGACTAGATTTTAGATCTTTTGTCTCTGCAGTAAGGGATTCTCTGTTGTCTTCTATGCTTTCTTCAAGCCCAGCTAGTATCCTTATAATCATTGTCTTAAATTCTAGTTCAGACATCTTACTTATATCTATATTGATTAAATCCCTGGCTGTGAGTTCTACCTCGTGTTCTTCCTTTTGGGGTGTCATTGTCATTTTATCCAGAAAAAAAAATGAAGAGAAAAAAAAAAAAAAAAGCAAAAAACAAAGAAAAAATAGGAAAACAAAAACAAAAAGCAAGGAAAAAAAACTAGATCCTGCGTGTGTTTTGTTCTTCTTGTTAAAAGAATCTAGACCCCAATATAAAAAAAAGAAATGAAAGTATGCAAAAAAATATATATATATTTAAAATATATAAATAAGAATAATAAATAAAAGAACTTGGAAAATATAAGAAAATGAAAAAATAAGAATGTAGAAAGGAAGCTCGATTCTATTTCCCTTAGAGTTGAAGCTTTGCAGCACTCTATGTAATCAATAAACTTGTTGGGACTTAGTTGTCTGTGCCATCTTCTTGGAGAGGGGGGGCCTGCTGCACTGATTCTCAGGCTGTCTTGTTTCAGTGGAAATGCCTCTCCAGGATGCAGTGTGGGCAGGGCTGGTGTACCAGCCTCCGGACTCCATTTTGTGTCCCTCCTTTGCTCCCTGAAGGCTTTCAGCACTGATGGGACAGATGAAGATGGCTGCTTCCTACTCTTTACCCTGGGAGCTAAAAGTTCAGCCCCCCAGCTCTTCAGTGAACCCTCCGAGAAGAGAAATCAATTGGCCTATTTGTGACCCTGGTTTCTGTCTGATCCCTGCGTTCACACTGCCCTTTGCCGAGCCTTTTTATCTCAGGCATGTGACCGAGTTTCAAGAAGTCCAAATTTCAGGGACTCCCATGCCATGGACCCACACTGTTCCTGGGGGGGGGGGGGTGTTAAAAATTATGAAAGGTTGGATTTGAAAGGTTTTTCTATTATAGTATTAATTTGAAAGATACATTTCCTTTGGTTTTACACTTCCTTCACATTTAATTGCCTTTGCTTTCCAATTTGTGTGTTGCTAGAAGGTAAGAGGCAAGAAAGCAAGACGATTTTGGTTATGTTAACTTGTAAACTTTTATCTCCTTAGTACCTGGAATAGCCTGGCCCATAACTGGTGTTGGGATTCAAGGCAGCTCACTTAATAATATCATTTTTCCAGATTGCAGTTCTGAAAGGGAAGGAAAGACACGTGAATGGATACAGATATCAGTCATTTTTATTGGCAGATTTGTTGGAGAACATCGTTTTGGTATGGAGAAAACAAATGTTGCACCCCAGAACTAAGCAGCTGTGTCCAAATAGCCTGGAAAGGGCTGGGAAATCTTAATGGTTAGCAATGATCTAAAAATATTAAGGTGATACTGAGGATGAGGAAGGGCTTCTTCCTAGTGACTCTTTAAGAGATTTGGAGGGAGGGGCTAAGCTGTGTAATCACCCATCCTGAAATCACTAAAGTCCCCGTCCTAAAGTCACTGTTCCTGCGTGGGTGGGAAGTTGTTCAATACAGTGTTGTGTGAATAAATAACTTGGAACCGTTAGTTCTAAAGTTTGCTTGTATGGCTATGTTATTAACTATACATTTAATTTCTCTTTCATGAGACGGTTTCTATTGACAGAGCCCATTTTGAAATGTTTGTTTTGACTGCTTTCTCGTAGTGAGTCCTTTTTGTCCTCGGCACAGTCTCTGTGCCACTAGTTAAATTATTGCTGATTCATCTGTGTGTTACGCTTAACACAAATCTTCTCTTAAGTCTATCTCTGAGTTGAGGAAGAGTTCACTTGGTTCTAAGATTACCGGTCACAGTTGGTTCCCCTGAAGATCTTGTAGGCATTCTTCATGATCACATTTTGTTCACCGAATATCATCTCATATCTCACTTGAGCTAATTTATTAATGATCCTCAAATCATTCATCTTTGAATTACAGCCTCTTTGGGGGCACTCTTATTTTGTATTGCTTTATATACGTTTATCCAAACTGTGTTTCCACAAACTCACAAATTCATTTTTGCACATTTTAATATGCAATGCATATTAATGCATTTTAATACTTCTTTAATTTTAATACTTCTTTATTGAATTCATGAAATTATTTTTTGTCATATCATGTCCTTTATAATCTTTAGCAGTAAGATGCATTTTATAGGTTGTGGGCTTGTCTTTCACAGCTTTCAATGGTTTTTACTTAATCCTTTTCTCTTTTGCTCATTTTAAGCTTGTCAGCAACATTAATGAGTGACTTTTCAGCAGTGTCTCTTTTCCCTTCTTGTACCTCCCAATGGGGTCTCTTTTAAATGGTTTTTATTTTATTTTTGGAAGTTTTGGAGCTTTGCCAAGTCATTTTTCCTTCTTTGTAATCTTTCATCCTTATAATTCTGCTTTGAAGTCCTGTTTTTAAGGTTTTTAATGATTTGTTGTTTATCCATTACTAAAATTATTGGATGATTTTTAAATGCTTTGCTCCAAGGCAAAGGATTCTTTGAATATTAATATTCAGTTACTTTTGCACTCCTACCTCTTTTTAATAGTTAGTGTGTTGGTTATTTTTTTTTCCCATGCCATTTTCATTGAGTTGAATTCACCTTAAACCCCATGAATTCATGATTGTAGTTTGCAGAGAAATACATGTCAGGGTCATGCCATAGCAGCACCTCTTCCTGGCTCAGAATGATGACTGTTTAACACCGGACATTTGGAATGTTTGTGGGACCTAGGTGGCATTTTCCATAATCTAAGAAATATCAGCTACTGAGAAGCTGCTTTTTATTTACGGTTTTGATCCACTCATGACCTTTGATGCCTACCACTTGGAAACATGGACAAAACACAGTGATACCTAGGTCAAGTCTTCCTTAACTCATAGGACTTTCCGGTTTCGTATGTGTAGGGATTCCCTGGATATCCCTATATTTCCTTTGAAGAAAAATTCTAAAGGTAAAACATAACTTTACATTTCAATCTATATTTGCCTCGAAGGCAAAACCTAACATAATCCCATGGCCAATGTGATATTAGTTTCCCTAGATTTTCCTTCTCCTTGGAATCTCCTTGCATTCTCCCATATGTTCTGGATAACTCAGTTGGTAAACCATATTTACAGAATATCTTTTGGGCATTGTTAAATGTCCTGGATATTGGCTGCTTTCCCCCAGTTATCAGATTTTTGTATTAATATATGGTTTCTCTTTCAGATCTGAATCAAAGCTCTGTCCTCTCCACTGAAAGACTCATAGGAAAATAAGAGGATACAGTGCCCAGAATCCAGCTATCACCTCTCCAGACATTTAAACAACTCTCCAGTTCCTGAGACCCCTCAGCTCACCCAAGAAGGCAAAAGATTTGATTTCTTCATCACAGTACATGTATACAGTGGGCAGAGAGCAAAGCTTGGTAATCACCTTGGCATTGCCTGGCTCTGTGATGCTGAAGACATTCTCATTTCTGTGCATTACAGAAGAGATTCAGATTTCCAGGTATGGACCAATGTCCAGGGGAGGGGTGTTTTCACTGTTCTGAAGGGCAAGTACCTCAAAGCTCAGGGAAGAGGCAGGTGTCAGAGGGGTATAGAGCCATATGGCCCAGTCCAAGTGCCCTAAAAGGAAAAATACTGGAATAAGGGCTGAGGGCACAGTTGGAGCAGGTATCCACCCACTTTCTGGCCTTGTAGCCATGGAGGAGGACAGCAAGGGGCCAGAGGTAAAACTGTGGGCTCTCATCAGCTTTGGAGATGAATGTCAGTTTTCTTCCTCTGCAGAGTTTGTAAGCTTTGGAAGATGCTAGTTGAGCATTCTGCACTATGGAGACATGTACCTGACACCTTACAGGGTATGTATGTATGGACTCTTATTTGGGAAAGTGCTTGAGGGTATCTGCTTTATATGGATGGCAGTTCTTACACAGAACCCATCCTGGCCTCCTCAAAGGATATATATAGGGGGGCTCAGTGGAGCTTTGACATTGTTCAGGAGCCCTGAACATTAATCATTCCACTCTCTGATTCAAGTTGAAGGCAGCTGATTTTAGTCCTTTGATCATCAGAATGTTTGGCTGTTGCAGGTAAGGCTTCTCTTCTGGCCATACATGGGATCAGAGTTCCTGTCATTGAGTGTGGGATGCTACTGAGCTGAGGCATAAATGGTTCTGAAATCATCCCAGCTTTAATTAAGGAAGTTGGGAAGAAGTGCCTCCATCTGACTAAACTGTAGTTGCATGTTACATACTTGAGGAAACTCCCAGTCACCAAAACTCCCCCAATTCCTGACAAATCTGGAACTACACAACTCTAAAATTTCAAAGTCCTGGATCTTTGAGGAAAGTGACTACTCTTCACTACTCTTACAATAGAACCTTGGCTTGGACGCTGTTCCTGCCTTCAGTGACAGGTGGTGACCTTGTCCAGCTGAAAGCTCTGCATTTCCTGGAAATGGTAAACATTTCCTTAAGTGTCAGATAAGGGGCTCATGATGGCCCTCTCTGAAGTTGATGGATTCCAGAACCTAGAACTGGTGAACTCCTTCTCAAATGAATTCCTACAGGCAGTAGTAGTGCAGCATCTTCAGAAGCTTTAGAAACTCAGAACGAGAGTGAATGGTCTCACAAACCAAGTATAGTCTCAACTAGAAAGGATGGATTCACTGCAGCCATTGGAGCCAAATACTCCTCCCACAGCTGAAGACTTCTCCTCTACCCCTCCCATCTTCTTTGTGTGCCTAAAATGCCCAGACCCCAAACCCTCAAGTTCCTAGAAGTCCATACCCCATGTCAGGAGAGAGGATACCAAGGCTCTTCTGCAGAAAGTTCTGCTCCACTCTCTGGTTCCCTTCAGTCCCAGCCCAAACTCATCCATTGAAGGGTGGAAGTGAAGACACAAAATGACTCAGTTCCGCTTCTCACCACCCTTACTTACACACCCTGTATCCTTTTTATCCTTTCTCTTCCTGCCCAATGGTTATCCCTCTGGGGTTCCTATTTTTCAGAGGCATTTGAAACCATGAGAAGACAACTCATCATAAACTGTGGTCAGGGAACAGGCTTTTGAGCCAGATAAATATGAGCCAGTAGTTCAACCAATTGCTCTCTGGGTTTTGTCAGGTCATGTGAATCCTATCCAAGTTGGTTTCCTAAAAGGAAAAGTGAAGATGATAATGGCAAACTTGTAGGGTCTTCTGAATAAATGGCAAGACTGTAAGTGAATACCTGTCACCCAGTATGTTGTCAGTGTTGATGAGATGTTTGGGCAGATAGCTTCTTAGCCCATCTGTGAGTTATCCGTAGACTTTGTACAGAGCAGGGTTGGAAGATATAACTGAATTCAAGAGAATCTGTAGACTTACAGTCTCGAAATGGACACCTCTGCTGGATTGGGAGTTCTGGGTTAGGGAGGAAATTGCTAATGGAGGCAGGAAACCACATTCTGTGGTCCTGTTGGAAAGGGAAACCTACAGGGTAGTGGCCTCTGGCACTTGTGCAGTAGGTAACTGACTCTCTGAAACAAAGTCTTGATTTATATCAATTGCTGATTTCCTTGTATACTGTGGCAAAATTCAAGCTAACAGGGGCTTACCATCCAGTTTACAAAACTCCTGAATATTGTATAAGCAACTCTTGGGAGCCAGTACATGCCAAGTCAAACATAACTACCAGAGGCATTGAAGGACTGTATTTAAAAAATTAGTAACTCTCCTTTGTTGCCCCAGCGTAGAAGTACAATGGTGGAACTGAGGAAGAACAATCTCACTGGGATACTCTAGCTTACCTTTTAAGGAAGCCAATTAGGGTAGCTCCTCCTACCTCTGACTCAGTGACCTCTTGAGTGGACCCAGCTTTTTATAGTTGAGAGATCAACCCACTCCCTTATGAAACCAGCCCCATCACAGCGGTTCCATTTGCTTGAGAAGGGATGAACTGCAAAGTTCTTGTGTGCTGCTCAAGACCTCGGTGATGGTGAATGAAGTTCCATGATTTCTACACAATCAGGACCCAAGGGAAAACCCTGGTTGTGAACGACTTTCTTGCTGCCGTATTAGCATCATTCCTCTTTAGAGTTAGGTGGATTCAGCATTGATTCAGTCTTGATGGAGTTCTGGGATACTACCAAGGCAGAAGCCCCAAGGCAGATATCCACAGTTGAAGTGGTCCAGCCTCTTCAACCCTTACATGTTTCTGTAAGAAGATATTTTATCACTCGGTCGCTAGGTGTGGAGGAGATAGGCTTCTTTGGACATATTCTGTGTTCCACAGCTTGATGACTGGAAATTTCCCTAATACATAATGAAAGTGCTTGGGGACGGGTGGATGGTAGTCCAAATCAGACTTCTATTGTAAGTGTAAGTGAACGCTGTGGTCAGTTTAAATTCAGAAAAGAGAGGTTACTGGATGGCTGGTCTAAGGAAGAATGAGCCAACTATTTCTGTCCTTAATTACAAGTTATTTCTCTCAACAACAGGAAGAGAATATCCTAAACCCAGACAGTGCCATTACCTAATCTCAAACAAAGAAAAGATGGGCTCCAGTCCCATGCCAGAACAGAAAGGAAATTTTTATACACTCTAAACTCCAGGAGTTTAGAGGAACTGTCAGAGGGAAATGTAATACAAGCCCCGAATATGAAAAGAGCTTACTTGGACACTTGACCACCTCAAAGCCTTTCCAGTGCCAGCTTGGAAGCAGTTGCCTGGAAGTGAGGAGTTGAACGGACAGTTGACACTTCTTGGATAGTTGGCTTCTCTTTGCCTCCATTTACTGCATCTATGAAGTAACAATAATACGAGGACCTCACTCTCATTTAAGTTCAAAGCTGCTGATTCTGTGGGACTTCCCAAGGATGACATTCAGCGCCATTTTTTACTGTCACGTGTCTGACCCATGCTCTATGGCACGTGTGACACTGTTCCCTCATAATAACATGAGTCATAACATGGTAGTTATTTTGAGGCTGATTCAGAACATTTAAATTTCACAGAATTTTGCCTGGTGTCCATTAAAGCTCCAGTTAAGATTTATTTATTGATAAGCTTCCCAAGGCATCATATAAAGGTCAGTTGCCTCAGAAATTTTATTAAGTAAAGTGTATATAGGTTGATGAGAAATATAATAAATAATTGATCTAGTAAGCCAACAGACTGTTCCACGTGACTTGAATTATCTGGAATATGAGGGTAGTTGCTCTTGACGTTAATACAGTAGATCTTTTTGAACTCTTAAGGTATTACTGTAGCAGTAATATTGCCACAGAGACTTTTACTTATTGAAAATAAGATAACAGCAAGAACAAAATTCACATCTACTTGATCTAACCAAGGAAATTTGCTTTTCATAGAAATAACAGCCACAAAAGAACAGTATAATATATCGATTTGTGTTTTTTTTTTTTTTTAAGATTTTATTTATTTATTTGACGGAGGGACACAGTGAAAGAGGGAACACAAGCAGGGGGAGAGGGAGAGGGAGAAGCAGGCTTCCCGCTGAGCAGGGAGCCTTATGTGGGACTCAATCCCAGGACCCTGGGATCATGACCTGAGCCGAAGGCAGTCACTTAACCGACTGAGCCACCCAGGCGCCCTCGATTTGTGTTTTTAAAACAATTTTACTAAAACCAGATTTAAAAGCTACAGTTTTATTGAGCTCTCTAGAGAATGTTCAAGCATTTATATTTACTTGTCTATAGAAAATGCTTTCTGGATGAAAAGTCATCACTGTGTAATAATAAATCCTTACTTAAATATTTCTGAATCTAAAAACAAAGCCCATGAATTTCCATGGTAAAACATTCAGGAGAATTTGCTCAGGTTTATCCAGCCTTCCCTCTACAGCTATCCCAGGTAGAACTGCGCCATCATACGTACAAGGCAGCCGGCAGAGAGTGCAGCAGCCTGGCAGCAGCTCTAGGACAGCTCTGTACATCCCAGGAAGACCTCTGACCTTAAGTCCATTCAGGTATTTCCTGTAGAGGTTGATACTTAAATCAGTTTGCAAACCAAACCCAGTTCCACTGAATTGGAGGAAGGGAAAAAAAAACCCTCACAAATTCTCAAAAGAGGGCCTATCACCAGCTCAGAGGCAGGCTAGTCTACTAGGAGGCAAGACCCCTGGATCCTGAGCCTGCACTCTGGAGGCCTTCATTGTTAAACTGCTGGGGTTGTAGCACAGAAAGTAGTTCCATCCCTTTGTGTTTCAGTTAGAAGGGGAAAGTGTTGCTTCTGGTAGAAGGGTGAGTGAGAACAGTGCCACCAGAGCACTAAGGTCTGGCCCTGCATTGATCTATCTTAAACAGAGGGCTTTGTTAGATGGTAAATTACTGCTTTTTCACATTCACTGAATCCCTCCGTCTCCCCACACAATGTAAGGGGACTCGAGTACAGTGATGAGCCAAGACAGGTGTTACCCTTGCTCCCCTAAGTTCACACAGCTCAGAGGAGCAGACAGTCAGGCTAGCCGTTGCAGGGAGGTGTCCTAAGTGCCCTCCTGGGAAAATGGGGAGGTTTGGCACCCACATTAGACTAAATGTTCAGGGAAGGTGATCATATCCTTCAAAGGGGATATGATATGTAAACAGATTCTTAAAGAGTAAGCCAGTTCAAGAATGCCAAGTTGGGGATGAGAGGGAGGTTCTAGTAAAAGGGCTAAAGCCAGCTGGCACGTGGCCCATGAACGAGGCAGACATAAGGCATATGATGATTTCAGTGCAACCAGGGATGAGTGAGTGAGTATGAGGTGGTGGATCTGGCCATGTCTGATGGGAACCTGAGCCCATATTAAGAATTTGTCTTTAGCTTATAAGCCACTCTATCACATTTTTCAGGGTTCCACTCAGCATCACAGTCCCTGGTGTGCTTGTCAAAAATGCAGACTCCTGGTGTCCATCCCAGACTGAAAGGAAGGACTGCTAGGTCATCTTTCTCATTTCCACATTCTCCAGGGGATTCTCAGCCTATGAGGATTGTGATTGGTGTGAGTCAGGGCTCCATAAGTTTGGTGCTGATGTTAGGCTATTGTCAAGTCTTCCTCACTACTGCACTGTGGCTATTTTATGTTTTTAATTGTGCCCAAGATTGTATCATGGAATTATCAGCACTTTTAGTATAGAATATAAGGTAACTTTCATTTTTTTGTGTGTGTTTTTGTTATTTATTTTTTATTTATTTATTTTTAAAGATTTTTTATTTATTTTTCAACAGAGAGAGAGACAGCGAGAGAGGGAACACAAGCACGGGAAGTGGGAGGGGGAGAAGCAGGCTTCCCGCTGAGCAGGGAGCCCGACGTGGGACTTGATCCCAGGACCCTGGGATCATGACCTGAGCTGAAGGCAGATGCTTAACGGCTGAGCCACCTAGGTGCCCTCTTTCTGTTTTTTATACTGCTTCCTCTGTGTTAACAGTTCACTGTTACTTACTGGATTATATTTCTATGGGACATCCATCCATCCAAAAGACTATGAAAGAAAGACACACATGTTAAGACAACAGATGTAAAAACATGGGCTCAGGTGGCTGTGGAGAGCGGTTCACAGATATATCCCAAATCCTCTGAGCCCTTGTACTTCTGCCTACTTAGCTGCAGTTTGCCTTTATTGGCTCAGATGTAAGTAATTACAGCAGTGACTCAAGTGTGAAAACGACACTCATTAACACATTTTTGCCTCCCAACAGTCCTAGGAAGGAGTCAGGGCCATCAATCAGTTTGTACATCACCCAGCATAGAGGGGAGCCTGGCTGGGGCCCCAGCAGGCTGAGACCAGAGCCTTGGCCTTGACCTCTGAACCATATGGCCTCAGGAGCACCTGGTTCAACATTCTTTTGGCCTTCGTGCACAGCATTGGATGATGGTGATGGTGGCAGTGATAATGATAACAAGGATGCCATTGACAATTTTTTCTAAATCAAATGCTTGTATTTAAAATGTAGACTGAATGACTTCTCGTCAAAAATAATTTGTTCCTTTATATCTCTAGATCTCAATGTACCTTAAGATATGTCCTAATTCTTTGAAACTTTTCAAAAACAAAGCACATCCTATTTATAGGAAAACCAGTAATGAAGCTACATAATTTATTCTAGGAAGCCCTAATATTTTGAAGCTTGTAGAGTTTTGCAGTCCTTAGGGATCAGTCATCTAAATCTGATGAAGAGACCTGAATTGTTTTTCTATTTCTTGGGAGTAAATGTACACACTCTAAATACCTGAGTATATATTTTAAGCATAAATGTTTCTATTTATTTGGAGTCACCATGATGCTCAGAGTCTGAGAGTTGTCAGATTACAAATCCTCTTAAAAATAAAGAGCAGGAGGGGTGCCTGATGGCTCAGTTAAGCAACTGACTCCTGGTTTCAACTCAGGTCATGAGATCAAGCCATGCCTCGGGCTCTGTGCTTAGCTTGGGGTCCACTTGGGACTCACTCTCCCTCTGCCCCTCCCCCCTGCTCACTCTCTCTGTCTCTCTCAAACAAATAAATAAAATCTAAATAAAGAGCAGGACAGAGCTCTTGCTTTAGCTTTTCTCCAGTGTTTCCCATAACAACCAAAGTCCGCCAAATGGTGAGGCCTCTGGGAAAAAGAGATGAAGGTTGCTTTTGAGACCTTTAGAAGGATGAAGAATTAAAGGATATAATCTATTGATGAAACAGACAACTAGATCAATGAAACACAATAGGGAGCACAAAAGAACACACACACAAATACAGTCAATTGATACTTGACCAAGGGGCAAAAATAATACAATAAAAGTATTTTCAACAATGAGAGGGCAGGTAACAACTGGAAATCCATATATAAAACAAAACTGAATCTAGACACAGACGTTATACTCCTAAAAAACTAACTCAAAGCACATAACAGATCTAAACTATCAAACTCCTAGAAGAAAGCACAGGAAAAAAAATCTAGGTGACCTTGAGTTTGACAATGACTATAATATCAAAGGTAAGATCCATGAAAGAAGTAACTGATAAGTGAACTGGATTAAAATTAAAAATTTCTGCTTTGTGAAAAACACTGTCAAGAAAATGAGAAGACAAGCCACAAACTGGGAGAAAATATTTGCAAAACACACATCTTATAAAGGACTTATTCACAATATATAAAATATTTTAAAAATCAACAATAAGAAAATGACCAACTCCATTAAAAAATGGGCAAAAGATCTGAACAGCCACCTTACCAAAGAAGATACAGATAGAAAACAAGCATATGAAAATACGCTCAACATCATATGTCATTAGGAAAATCCAAAATACTGAGACCGCCAAATGCTGTTTTGGATATAGAGCACCAGGAACTCTAATTCATTGCTGGTAGGAATGCAAACTGGTGCAGCCACTTTGGAAGATAGTTGGGAAGTTTTTTACAAAATTAAACCTACTCTTACCATGTGATCCAGCAGACATGCTTCTTGCTATTTATCCAAATGAGCTGGAATATGTACGTCCACACAAAAACCTGCACGTAAATATAGCAACTTTATTCATAATTGCCAAAACTTGGAACCAACCAAAATGTCCTTCCAGGGGTGATGAATAAATAAACCATGGTATATCCAAACACTAGAATATTATTCAGTGGTAAAAAGAAATGAGCTCTCAAGCCTGTGAAAACACATGGAGGTGCCTTAAATGCCTGATACTAAGTAAAAGAAGCCAATCTGAAAAGTACATACTGTGTGATCCCAACTATACGGCATTCTGGAAACGGTTTAACTATGAAGACAGTAAAACATCAGTGGTGGGCAGGGATGAATAGGCAGAGCACAGCGGATTTTCAGAGCAGTGAAAATACTCTGATGATGCTGTAACGGTGGATACCTGTCATTATACATTTCTGAAAACCAACAGAAGATATAGCACCAAGAGTGAACGGTAATGTAAACTAAGGCTTAGGGTGATAATGATGTATCAGTGTAGGTTCATCAGTTGTAACAAATGTACCACTCTGGTGTGGGATACTGATAGTGGGGGAAGCCGTTCTTTTGTGGGGACAGGAGGTATATAGGAACTGTATTTTCTGCTCAGAAAACAACTCTAAAAAGTATCATTAGAGAAAAAGAAAGGGCATCATGTGTTTTCCTTAATTGTATCTATATGATTTACCTAATTAGAAAAGATTCTGTTAGAAAGTCCTGCCTCAGTTAGGTTTATATTGACTGGCATCCAGATAGACCAGGGTGTGTCTTTTGATTTATGTCACTGATGAGGTTATCAACTGCCTAAGATAAATCACCTTCAAAAGGGTGATTTATTTAGAGTAAGAAAGAAACTCTGAGGTCCTTTGTGTGGTGGTTGCATCCTCAAAGAGTTGGCTTCATTAGCTTTTCCATCTGTTTGGGTTTGGGTAAGTACTGGATAGAATTTTTACCAGGAAAGAAGACTCCTATATTTCAGGGAGGAAGTTATAATCAGAAAGTGATAGTTTATCTGACTGCAGGCACTTGGGGGCAGGTTTCCTTATCATGGACATAGAATTTTTCTCTATTATCACTCGGATGTAATGGTCACAGGGAAACTTGCCTAACTCCACCATATATAGGTAGATTTTTTTTTGGTTGTAGTTTAATGAAAGTATCTCTATGTAACGGAGATTGAAACTGAAACTGGAGTAGAAGGAGTATGGGGTGGGAAGTTTGTGGATGGGGTTGGAAATGAAGAATTATAATAGTGCCCAGGTTAGAAATAATAGCGGTGTGTTTGTTTGGTAAAGGCATTTAAAATGTCAATACCCGGGGCGCCTGGGTGGCTCAGTTGTTAAGCATCTGCCTTCAACTCGGGTCATGGTCCCAGGGTCCTGGGATCGAGTTCCACGTCGGGCTCCCTGCTTCTCCCTCTGCCCCTGCTTGTGTTCCCGCTCTTGCTGTCTCTCTCTCTCATCAAATAAATAAAATCTTTAAAATAAATAAATGTCAATACTCAGATGTAGCCAGCCATTAACTAAGATTCAGACAAAGGAGTAATTTCTGTATTTGGAGGGATGGAGTTATTTTCTTAAGAAGTACTTCATTTTAGGTGTAAGTTTGCAAGCAGAGATGATCATTCAGAAATGGGAATCCAGAAAAGAAATTGGTCACTTTCAATTTAGAGACAGCAATAGAAAAAATTGGAACTGAAGAAATGCATGAGCCTGCCAGGACATGGTATAAAAGGAGAACAGGCTCTCACATTAAGTCTTGAGACATTCCAAGAGGATTGAGGAATTCTTTACAGAGGACATGGGAGAAGGACTGATTATAGAGGGGAAGAAGCTCTGAAAAGGAGGTCAAGGTTTAACTCCTCTTTGTTTCCATGTAAGAATTTATTTATGGAGAGACAATCAGTGATGTTAACAATATATGGTGGTGGCCTTTTTAAGTCAAAGGGAGAGGAGGATGTGAGCGAAGGACAACTGCATTTCCAGTTTGATTTTGAAGGGAGGTTAGAAGGGCAGGAACTGGAGAGAAAATAGGTTCAGAGGAAATTTTTGCTTCAAGTTACAAGAGAGATAATGAACTTAAATGATGGGGGATTGATTGTAGAGAGATGGACAGGTTTTTGGGAAAGGAGATTTAATTTACAAACAATAATATAGTTCTCAACAAAACAGGAGAGAAAGGAATTCTGTTGGAGACTTTGGACTTAGAGGTAGCACGGCTTCTATTTGATGGGAGGAAAGGAATAGCCAATGTATAGGAATGTAGGAATATTTGTAGAGATTATGATGAGAAACTGAGTTAGTGTGTCACCTTATGTAACTCATCTTTGTTATAGACTGAATTTTGTGTTCCCAAAAGTCAAATGTTGGAAGTCCCAACCCTCAGAGTGTATTTGGAGATTGGGCCTTAAAACTGGCAATTAAGGTAAGATGGGGGCATTAGGGTGGGCCCTAATCCCGTTTGAGTGGTGTCTTTGCGAGAAGAGGGAATTAGGGCACAGACATGTGGGATGGCCCAGGGATGGCCATGTGGAGACAGGGGGAATGGCAGTCTACGACCTAAGCGGGGGAGGCCTTAGAAGAAACCAACCATGGCGATATCTTTCATATCCAGCGGCCAGAATTGTGAGAAAATACATTTCTGTTGTTTAAGCCCCTCAGTGAGTGGTATTCTGTTACAGCAACCTTGGCAAACTAACACAGTATGTATAGTAGGGAATAATCTTACCTCTTGAAAGGTGAGAATGTGTAGCATCAAAAGGCATGGGTAAGATTTGAAATATTTATGGGAACATGGAAAAATGATTTAGAGTTGCCAGACACATTCGAAAACCCCTAGGAGTAGTAGTTCTGTTTTTAGACCAGCATCAACTTACTAGCCATGTGTGTCAGATGCAGTCACAGGAAAGGCGGGTACGTGGAGTCACCTGCTGTTGAGATCTTGATGGGGAAATGTGGCTAATTAATAGTGCAGGGAACATAGAAAGTGCTGGTCCTGGTAAGTACCTGTTAAAATGAGTCAGTGTGGATTAAAGTGGGTAGGAAAAATGAAAAGGGAGAAAGCCTGATGTTTGAGAAGTGGTCAGTACACGGAGGTTCCCGTGTACAGAGAACTGAGTATGGGGTGTAATTTCTGTGAAGAAGTAAGGAGAAGAAATTGTAATAATGGTAGGACTTCTGATTAGGTCAGAAATGGTGTGATATTCCAGGTAAAACCTAGGTGTGGTGGGTAATCCTTAAGGAATTTGAGCATAGGAGAGAGGGAGAGCAAAATTAAAATACAGATAGGTTATTTCCTAGCTGTGTAACTTTGTTACATTATTGAAGTTTTTTGAACCTCTTCTGTTCATTTGTTAAACTGGTAAATAAAATCACCAGGTTTATTGTGAGGATTAAATAAACGAATACATGTAAATATCAAAGTAGAGTCACATTTGATACAAATTTCCTTTTTTTTTCCTTTTTCTGGACCTCAGGTACAAATGGGTGAGTTAATCTTACTCTTGTTTATGACACATTATCATCATTGTCCCATGAAATACATTTAACTGTTGGTATTTTAAGGGAGAATTTACAGTTTATACATGCTTTCTCACTGTGTGTCTCACACACATTTGTGTGTATGTATGTAAATGTGCGTATACATATACATACATGTATCATAATGAAATGCAGGCGTAGTGCAGCTAATGAAGATTAACATAGAACAGGATTTCAAGGACTTCAGTTACCACTTTACTAAAATAATCAGGTAGAGCAACTAGATTTCCTCCCGAACCGCAGCCATTCTGTATTATCTGGACGTCCTTGGAAGAGAGGATTGGGACAGTAAATGACAGGAACATTATGACCCATATATTCCTCCTTTCTGATGCAGGGGAATTTTAAGGACCAGACTTGCAGAATGAGTGCCACTGATCCCTCCAAATGGAGTAAGTCCTTGAATTGATGAACCCTATCATAAAATAGATTTGGCAATCCAAATCCATGGGCAAGGGAGAGTGGGAAGAGAGTGTGGCTCCAGAAGGCTACCGTGGATGCTGGGGAACCACTGCTTGGGTATGAGAATAATGAAATCTGAGCAATTCCAGTGTTTACGTACAGATGGAAACAAAAATTGATGTGAGGCATGAATCCGGGATCTCGAGGCTTTGGAATCAGGGAGGGAATTAAATAACTCTGGATGCTGTGGGCTAATTAACCTATACAACTCAATACTTTCAGTGTTCTTATTCATAAAATCTCTATGTTTTTTATTAGTAACTGTAGTCCTAGTCTTCTTTTGACCATGGGAGAGGAAGCGAGTCCTCTGATTTTCTTGTGGACTGCACTGCATGTTTGTTGGTTAGGCTGGGGGTCACACCCGGGTAAGGTTTGGGGCTTCGTGACAGGTGAAACTGGAAATTGTGCACAGGACGGGAGTCTCATGGCTTCTTTCTCCATCCTCAGCTTTGCCCGCTTAGTGCTTGGACTGTCTGCGAGTGAAAACCCAGAGAAAGGCACCTGGCAACTGAGTTATTGACAATGCAGCCACTGGTGAGTAGGGAAGCCTCTTTCTGCTGAAATAACACCCTCGTGCCATCAGATGGGCGAGTTTTTCCTTTTGGCCTGAATGTTCAAGTGCAGTCAGGAAGTCCTCAGGGATCTGAGCTCCCGTGAGATTTCCCCAGAACTCTGGGATGGTTATGATGAGTCAGAAACTCCTCAATAACTAGTAACCTTCCTAATATCACACTAGTTTATCCCAGCCTTCATTAAGCTTGTGTATTTACAGAAAAGAAGAAAGAAGTTTGCTTTCTCGAACTCAGTCCATATCCTCATTGGGAAATAATTCACCCATTAATCATGGTGTTGGCTCTAATGCTCCTTTCATAAAGGGTTGTGGTGAAGAGATGAGCAAGGAAGAGAATACTGTGGTCCGACAGAGAGGCCTTCCCAGGAGTCCAGTGTTTCAGGTGCCGGGTGAGGGCTGTGGAGTGTTGAGGGGAGTAGAAGAGAAGTTGAGGCCACAAAAGGCATGAGGGATCACTCATATTTTCCCAGTTTTAAAATTTTGAGAGGATATATTTGCACTTTTGGAAACTTACCATTCTTGCCCCCAGTCACATATTTTACCTTTTTGTAATTCGTGTATAGGGACTATTAAGTCCATAATTATGGCTATATATTCAGGAGAAGGGTATACAGTAGAGTAAAATTTAAGATCCTGCAGAAACTTTTTAAGAACTACATAAAGCAAAACGAGTCAAGAGGCTTCTCTTCTCCTTTAGTAGAGGGACAAGACAGGTGATAACTGGTGTCTAAGGCTCAGAGAAAATGAGGAGTCCTTGTAACACGGGAGCAGTCAGGCTAGGACCCTTCAGTACAGCTGTCTCAGAGGTTCCAGGCTCGTACGGCTGAGCCTTCTCTTCGGACCACACACCTTATTATGAACACCTGAGCCTGCAGAGTTGACAAGACTACACTGTGTATACTGAGTTCTGTATGAAGCGTGTTCCTTTCTGAAGAATGTTAGAGGCGGTTTCAAGGTTCTTGAATATTTTAATGAGTAATAGACGAATGGTTTGTATTTAATACATGTTTACTTAGGAAGAACTTCATGCATTAGTTCATTGGGTCTTTCAGTCTCCTAATAGGTTATTAAAGGTTCATCTATGGGAAGAGTGTCATGGTTTAAAAGTGGCAAGTCATGGTTAGTGTTTGCCTTACAATGAGTCTGTAAAGTTACTTGAAGTTAATCAGAAAGTGAGGTGTAGTTATGAATTTTCAAGCGCCAATTTTATAATCCTATGTCAGAAATTGTAATTACCAGTTTTTGTTTTAGACTTTATTTTATGTATTTATTTTTGTAAATAGGCTCCACACCCAACATGGGGCCTGAACTGATGACCCAGAGATCAAGAGTTGCAAACTTCACTGACTGATCCAGCCAGGCGCCCCCATAATTATCAGTTGTTTAAGAAAAAAAAAACAAAAAAAACCCCAGGTTATATCACACTTCATGTGATATTCCCTTATAATAAAGTTTTATTAATTCAGACTGTATTTCTGTAATGTATCTGAAAGGCAGATGCCAGTTCAGCACCGAGAATGAACTGACAGGAACCCCAGACTCAGTTTGATCTTTCTATACACCCAGCTCCTCCACCCTCTTCCTCAGTGCTGTCATCTCAACTCCCACTCTGGACGTCGATAGGGAATGCTCTGTCTAAAACAGAATATCCATGATGTTTTAGGAATCAGTGACATTTGAAGATGTAGTTGTAGACTTCACCAAGGAAGAGTGGGCCCTGCTGGACATATCCCAGCGACAGCTGTTCAGGGATGTCATGCTGGAAAATATACGTCATCTGGTCTCCTTGGGTGAGTCTGCCAACGCATATACGTACATAGATGGGTGGGTAGGAAGTTAGTCAACAAGTATCTGGAACAGCTTCTGCATACCTGCATACCCACTCCTCTCTCTACCCTGAATCTTTCATAGACCTTACTTGAAAGAAAGTTGTTTCTTTATATTTTACTACATCTAGTTTGTCACCCCACTAGAATATAATTTTGACCACCATTTAATGTCTTTGTTGCTACTCAGTCTCTGACACCCAGAGCAGAACTGGGAAGTCAATATTTCTGAATGCATAAACAAACTGATTAAACATTTTCTAAATAGTTATTCTGTTGTAGTCACTATGTCAAGGGTTGAAGCTAGACTGGTGACAAAAATAGAACTATTTTTGATTATTCTTGCTGAGTTTATTTGGTGTCTTTTGAAAGTAATATTCAACCCACTGTGGAGACATTTAACTTCTCCATTTCTGAAAAGACTGAGGATTCTGCATTCTGTCTTTGAATTTGGGCATGGATCAGCATCCAGAAGTCTTCACTATTTTGGACACACATTTGGATTTCAGTGTTTTTTCCATTCAAGTTGTTGTTGCTTGGACTGGACTTCAGTGTTCTCCTTATTCTTCCTCAGTAGCCTGTCCTGGACTTGATGATGATAATTAGCTTTTGGGAAGGAGAGGATTTTTATTAGTGCAGAATTCAAAACCCATGTACCTTTTTTCAATGAACAGGATATCAGCATTGCAAATCAGATGTGATTTTCCCGTTGGAGCAAGGAGAAGAGCTGTGGAGAGAAGGAACTGGATTTCTCCAAGGCCAGAGTCCAGGTGAGCAGCAGGAACCTGTGCTTCAGTAGGAGGAGGTGCCTACTCAGTAGTATGTTCTTGTAAATACCAACTGAAGATTTTGTCTAAAATGTAGAGGAAGGACATTGAAGCAAAATTCTTCAGATGTTGTCATTATTCCTTGCATGTGTCGAACACAGTTTATGTTTCCTCTTGCCAGTGTCTTTTTTGGTTTTAAGGGAAGCATATTCATGTACTTAACGAAGTTAAACTTTCACGCAGTAACTCCTGGCCTAATATTGCTCTTTGAAGGTTTCCCTTCTCTTTCCCTATTACCTTCATTATAATTTTTTCATAATTCAGTCCTGAAAATCTTTGTGAATTAGTATTCCTAGAGTATTCCTTCATTTGACCTATTTGCCCCATCAAAGTGCCAATTTTTGAAACATACTCACATGGGCCTTGGTGCTTTTCAACATTTTCATTCCCCTGCTGCCATTCTAAATATTTGTTTTGTTTTCAATTATTTTAGGCAGGGAAAGTGCCCTTAAAGAACAAGAATTGATAGCCACACAACATATCAGCAGGAAGGACACATCTAAAATCATGCCAGTGGTAAGTTTCATGGGTAGTAACCCTGGTCATCCAAATGAAAGACCTAGAAATAGGGTGTTAGTAATTGAGCACAATAGCTTAATTCATATTAAGTTGGGATTAAGCTTTTTTTGAGCATAAAGTTTTGGATAGTTTGAATTTAGTGAAGAAATTAATCTCAGCCCCAAAACCATAACCTGAAATCTTAAAAAAAAAAAAAAAAAAAACAACTGCATAAACATTGATTGTATGCCTAGTCTTTGAAACATATTGAAGTGTTCTAAATTAATCTATAATCTATAAGCTCTGTAGTTGGGATGCTACAAAAGAGAAAATCTTTATGCAGGGGAATAACAAACGCATCATGTGTATGCAAGTAATACTAACAAGATTTTAAGTGGAGACTATCACTGAATGATTAGTTTAGGATTCCTATGTAGAGAAATGAATGTATGGATATGTAGGCCAAGCTTTAACAACCTTTCATCTCTTTCCCAAAAGCAGAAATCTCATACTCCAGAGGATCCCTTTGAATATAATGGTTTGGAAGAAGATTTCACTCATACCTTCATATTGACTCAGCATTTGTTAACTCACACAGAAAAGACACCTTATATCAGTAAACAGTGTCCAAAATCCCTTAGTGACCAGTCGTACCTTAATCAACATAAGCAAATTCACACCAGAGGTAAATCATGTGAGTGTCATCTGTGTGGAAAAGCCTTTAGTAATTGCTCGAGCCTTAGGAGACATGAGATGACTCACACTGGAGAGAAACCATATGAATGCCATATCTGTGGGAATGCCTTTATTCAAAGCTCTGACCTTAGAAAACACAATCTAACTCACACTGGAGAGAAACCATATGAATGTCATCTATGTGGGAAAGCCTTCAGTCAGTCCTCCAACCTCAGACAGCACGAGAGAACGCACACTGGAGAGCAGCCATATGAATGTCATCTATGTGGGAAAGCCTTCAGTAAATGCTCTGCCCTTCGACGACATGAGAGAACTCACACTGGAGAAAAACCATACGAATGTCATCTTTGTGGGAAATCCTTCAGTCAGTGTTCTGCTCTTAGACGACATGAGGGAACCCACAATGGAGAGAAAATTATGAACATCTTCAGTAAATATTCTGACCTTAGATAACATGATATTAAAAATGTAACGGATGTGGGTGAGACTTCAACCACAGCTTTAACATTTAAACACACCAGAGGACTTGAACACTGAAGAAACTCTACTCAGTGTAGAAGATTCTTTAGTCATTCTTACTCATTTGACGTCCACAAACTTACATGGAAGAAGTCCCTACATGTGGGCGCCTGGGTGGCTCAGATGGTTGAGCGTCTGCCTTCGGCTCAGGTCGTGATCCCGGGGTCCCGGGATCGAGTCCCGCATCGGGCTCCCTGTTCCTTGGGAGCCTGCTTCTCCCTCTGCTTCTCTCTCTCTCTCTCTGTCTCTCATGAATAAATAAATAAAATCTTAAAAAAAAAAAAAGAAGTCCCTACATGTGACATCTACGCAGCAAACCCACAGCAGACATGAGAGAACTCTCTCTGTGAACACAAGGAATGGAGAGGCTTCAGCAACAGTTCTCAACTTTAAACACATTATCGGGCCTGCACAGGGGAAAGCCCCTAGGTCTGTAATCACTGTGAACAGTATGCAGCCAGGCACTAGGCATGGTGCGCACAAGAAAACTCAGTGAAGTCTGAATAAACACTAACACAAGATGTAAGAGGATGAATGCTCTTGAGGAATAACAATTTGTATTGTAGTGAAAAATCATGAGAAACCCTTTGTTCATAGAGAAGCATTTAGGGCACACGTGAGGATTCAGACTGTACACATCACTCAGTGTCGGTGATCACGTATTTCTCAGCCAACATTAAAGTTCTTACGTGAGATGGCAGTCGTGAAATCACAGTGGAGAGAACTTCACACAGATTTTGTATCAGGAAACTAAGTCTAGGGAAAAACCTCTAAAATTAGAGCCTTTAACACAGTGTAGCCAATAATTCAGGATTTTGAGAAAAATAACTACTGATGGGGAAAATGTGGCATATAAATGCAAAAAAGTGATCCATGCATATTGAATACAGTTTTGTAAGAGATACTTTTTCAATACGTTATTTCCTGTAAATATTTATACAATAAACCCTGTTGCTGAAAAATCTCATGTTGTTGAAGTTCTAGTTTTCTCTATGCAGTTGTAAACACATGGGTTTGAGCCTGCACTCCTTGGTATGTGGGTTAGAGACTCAACAAGACTCTGAGTCTTCCCCTTTCTCCAACAGCTACTTCCACACAGATCAGCTCCACTCATTCCAACTTGCCACCATCAGCTGGTGGCATAACAGGGATTCACCCCAGTTGATAGGTTACTCATTGTGCTATTAGCCTGGCCTAGTAGGACCATGAGCGCAGTATCCCAGATACTAGTGTAAACCATGAGGTTGTCCAGCCCTTCTGTGCCCCTGGGAAACTTAGTCTTTCCAGACCAAGAACATTCCTTGGAGTTTTTCCATGAAGCTTCTGTGGGGCAGGAGCTCATACGATGACCACATTTTACATCTTACGCAAGTGAGTCCTGAATTATGCGCCTTCCTGTTCCCCAGAGCCACTGCTATGCACCCCCACAGCAGTCCTGCAAAGAAAACTCTAAAACAATAAAATCCCCTAACCTATCAGACAGCACATAAGCCCTTAAAATTAATGTATTCTCCAAACAAAATGAAAGTTCTCACAAAGGCAGTCTCCCTGGCTTTGGTCCCAGGGCTTGGAAACGGACTGCCCTTCAACAAACCCCAATACTGGACCCAAACCTCAAGGGGAGATGTTCTCTAGAGACAACCGAGCTGATTTGTTCTCTTTCCAAGATGACACAATCCCAGAATCTTAACTGAGACCAATTAAATGATCACATCTCTGGATGGAACTGATCATTTTTTAAAAATATCCACAAGTGATTCTACCGTGTAGCCAGGGTGAGTAAGTCACATGTGAGGACAATGAGCAATCAATATCCAGTATCTTGGCACCCTGGCTGGAGAGGCAGGGTGTGTGATCAGGCGGGGACACAGGGAGGTGTGACCAAGGGTTGAAGGGAGCAAATGAGTGATTAGAAGTTCAGACCCTCGGGATAAAACATGGGTTCTAATTTCCACTGTTACAGCCAATGAGATTTCGTTACTGAACCTTTCTGTGACTCATTTTCCTCAGTTCTAAAGTGGAAGTATGCTTAGTGCCTTCATCTTAAGAGTTGCTGTGAAGACTTAAAAAAAAAAAAAAAAAAGTATTGTGACGACTGAAGACTAATGAGTTGGTACTGCACACCCCCCAAGTTACTACACATAATAGGTACTTGGTGTTGGCAAATAATATTTTACAAATTAATCTGAAATGTGAATATACCACTCTGCCTTATTTTTATATTGAAATATTTCATCATTCTTAAAAATATAATCAGGATGTATTACTATATTTGATCTGCTTACAACAATATGTAATTTACCTCCATGCTATAGTTGGTTTTAGGTGTAATTCCAGGCCTCAACTAAATTTGAGACCTATCTGGTGGCTCAACCAGGAATCACACATGCTCTGCCCCAGTGTGTCTCCAGGAAGGGAGGGGCTGGTCCTGGAGCCTGCTGGGGGTGGGGCCTGTGCTGGTTTTGGGACCCCTAAGATTGATGCACACACCCCCTTCTCAGAGGAGGCCATGTCCCAGTGGGCTTTATCTCCACTGACCTAGGCCTGTAAGTGCACTGGGCAGCTGTACTGAGATCTTCGTGGCAGATAAAGGAAAATTACAGAACTACAAGGTGACAGAACCGCACAACTAGCTTTGTTTGGGTGACACACTGACGACTTGCTGTAAAGGGAAGTCCCACACAAGTCAACTCCTTCCAGAGGCAACAGTGTGGGGCCACCATCCAGAAGGGGAGGATGGAAAGGGAGCTCCTGGGGGAGAGGGGTCTTCACCGTCCAGATGGAAGTGTCAGTCACAGATGGGGAGTCTCTGGGTCAGAACGACAGGGGGAGGGGGGACCGGCTAGCAGCAGCTGAGAGACTTGCACGGTCCACAGATTACCTTAATGGCGAGCGGACAGTGGGTACAGTGTCACTGTATGCACGACACACAGGCTCTGAATGGTTAAAAATCTGCTAATTCCAGCCGTTCATAACAACTCAGTGTAAAAATGTGAATTTGGCACTGGTGAGTTTTTAAGCTCATGGGCCTGGCCTGCTGCAAAGAAGTAAAAATACGGGGACCATCTTTGGCTCATTTATAAACTACTTGATAATTTCAATAGATTTTTCTTCATATTCACTGGTTATTTCTTTTGCCTGCTCAAATCCAATGCTGCAACCTTTTATTTTTCATTTCAGTTGTACTTTTCAGCTCCAGAATTTCTATTTGATTCCATTTTAAAATTTCTATCTCTTTACTGAAACTCTCCATTTGGTGAAACAATTGTTTCCTTCAGTTCTTTGAGCATCACTGAACTGTTGGTTTTAAAGCCTCTGTCTAGTAAGTCCAAGGTCGGTGCTTCCTCAGAGACTATGTCTGTTCAATTTTCTTTTCCTGAGAGTGGGGTGTACATTCTTGTTTCTTTATATGGCTCAATTTTTTGTTGAGTACTGGATATTTTAAATATTACAACGTGTCTCTGGAAATCCGATTCTCCTGCCTTTGCTGTGTTTGTATTTGCTACGTTATGAGGGTTGTACTTGTTTAATGATTTTTCTCAACTGTTTGTAATAGCTCTTTGTTGCGTGTGGCCCTGAAGTCTGCTCTGTTAGCCTGGTGGGCCCCTTGTGATTTGAGAGAGAGCTCCTGCAATGCCTGGAGCCAGACCACGACGAGGTGCTCTGCCAGTCACTGCAGACCGCCCGCCCCCATGCTGGTGCTCTGCTCCAGAGCTTAGGCAGGGAGTTAACTCCGTCATCCCTTCACTTGCCCTTGCGCCAGTGCTGAAGGCCAACTCACATGGTGCTCTCAGGTGTTAGCCGTGGGCATCAGCATGGCCTTTAGACTGCCCAGCGCACAGGAGATTTTCAGTGCCCTTCGTCCCTCAATTATGTCCCAGCATCTTCCTTCCCAGGCTTTTCGGTCTGCCTCCCTCTGGCCCCTCTGGCTGATCCCTTCCCAGACAGGTGCTGCTGGTATATTTCATTGAAATGCTCTTGACAGTGCCACCCAGGAGCTCCTTAAAGTTCTGAGGCAGCTGAAACAAAGGGAAGCCCCTGAGTCTGCCCCTCGTGGAGCCCCCAAAGAGGTCAGAACACACGACCACGATTCTCTGAGAACAATCAGTCTTGCTGGCACGAGCACACTGTCCCAGGAGTGTGGACCCCTGTCCTCATGGTGGCCACAGAGCTGGGGAGTGGGGTATGGGAGGTGTGCAAGCCAAAACATCACCAGCCTGTTTACCGAAATTAAGTAGTTTTTCTTCATTAAGCCTTTGCCCAATTACCTAAACTACCAAGAGCTCATTCTCCAACTTTTGCAATTTTTGTTTTCCTAGTTCAGTTCTGCTTTTCCTGTCATTTCAAGATTTTGACTTACTTATACTCTCTAAAAAAAATCTTACTAAAAATAGGTAAATATGTTGTATCCAAATTCTGAACCATTTTTCCTGAAAGATTCATTTTCATTTTATTTTACTACCTGAAGCACCCAACTAACTGCCTTGTATTTAGAGACAATACCCATTATCATGTGTAACGTATTTAAATACCCCTACCTTTATTTTCTAGACAAACTACAATATAAAAAGTATTAGCATGCATTTCTCTGGGATAAGTTTTATTCAACAAAAACTCTGTACATGAAATGTACCAGGCATTGGTCTGAGAGCTCAGGATGCAGTGATGAACACAACAGAATTACCCCTGACCTCAGAGTCTGGTGGGTGTTGTATCCAGATCTTGTCTTGAGAAGCAGCAGTGCGAGGCACTGGTTCCAGAAGCACACTCTGGAACTACATGCTGCACGGTCTGAAGACCATCTCTACCACTTAGGAGCTGTGTGACTTTAAGCAACTCATTCTCACCATTTATTAGTTGTGGATAATATTTCATAGAACCTTATCAAATAGAATACACTGTTTATGTAACAATTCCTTTTGGGTTTGGTCTTACAGATTCCAGTTATTCCAAGTTACTTAGGTCAGCCCCTTCTTTCTTCCACCTATAGTTTTTTCATACTTTTTAATGAAATTATTCTATAACATTATTTCATCTTGGGATTCATCTACCTCCCAAGTGATTATTTTCAAATGTAATTAAGATTTACTATTTTTGCTGTAAAACTGTATGGCATTTGACAAATGCATAGTGGCTGGTACCCACCATTAAGGTATCATACAGAATGTTCCACTTACTCAATGTCCTCCTTTCACAGACCCCTGGTAACTACTGATCTATTTAGCATTTCTATAGTTTTGCATCTTCTAGAGCATACATAAAGAGATAATACATTATGTATCATTTTCAGATTGGCTTCTTCTACTTAGAAATATGCATGTACATTCATCCATGTCTTCATGTGGCTTCATGGTTCAGTGCTTTCCATTGCTGGATAGTATTCCATTTCATGGTTATAAATTTTGGTTTTGGTTATATATTCACCTACTGAAGAACATCTTGGTTCCTTCCAGTTTGGGGCCTTCATGATAAAGCTTCTGTAAATATTTGCGTGCTGCTTTTGGTGTGGGAGTAAGTTTTTGGTCCAGATGGGTAAACATCTAGAAGTACAATGATTACGGGCAAAATCAGACTATGTTTGCATTGTAAGAAACTGCCAGACTGTCTTCTAAAGTGTCTGTGCCATATTCATTCCCATTAGAGGTCCTTGTAGTTCTCCATGCTGATTGCAAAATATTTTGTCAATTTTTCTAAATGTTAGTCCCATCCTAATGTGCAGTAGTAAGTGGTATCTCATTTAATGTGCTTTTCCCTAATAGCAAGTGATGCTGAGGATCTTTCTGTATGTTAATCTGTTATCTATCTTCTGTGTCTCTCTTCAAATCTCTACTCATTTTTACATTTTTTAAAACTTTTTTCTTGTTAGGTTTTATGAGTCCTTACCATATTTTCCACACAAATCCTTTTTTCTGATATCTCTTCTGCAAAGATTCCTGTCTGCTCTAGAAGTCTTTTTATTCTCTT